GAGAGAGAGAGAGAGAGAGAAGAGAGGAGGAGAGAGAGAGAGAGAGAGATGGACGGACGGGCAGGAGCTCACCTTCGCAGATGTACCCCTGCTGTATGAGGCCCCACAGCATGTCGGTGCAGCTATGGCAGTACGTCGGCTTGTGAAACGTCTTCTTGCTGAAGCTGTGCCCATGGCTGGCTGGAGTCTCAGCCGAGACCGACGCCATGTTCCCCGTTCCACCGCGGCACCGCTCACGCCAGATTTTCACCGTGAAGCTACACAGGGCGCGCCGCGCGTCGATGACAACATAATTACACGGCAGCCACTACGTGATCTCGAAACCGTACGCGTACATAATTGCGTTGCTGCAGCTGCACCCGCGGCTGGCCGCTCGGGTCCCTCGCGTCGTACCGTCGTCCTCGTCGTCGCGTAACGTGCCTAACGCGCATTATTCCCCGAAGCTGCGCCCCCAAAACCGACCGACCGACCGGCACGGCACCGTGTACGCGGCCGTGTACAAGGGATTTCGTTTGATCGTGCACCAGTCAGCAGTCACCACTGTTTCGCGGCTGACCATCACCGTCATCGGCCGCTGCTACTGCCGCCTCCGCCTCCGCCGGGAGCTTCACTCGCGGTACGACGACGATGCGGGTGTCGCGTTCGCGCATCCGAGCCACGGAGCGGGCGCCGAGTGGCCGCACTGACATCAGCCCCTTCGTCACCACCGTCGTGCAGTGACGGAATCATGCACAGGCCAGCTGGGTTCTCGCGCGAGGGTGCCCCCTGTCCCAGGGGTTACCCCTCCCTTCGATAATTCTTTTCCCTCTCTCTTGTCTCGTCTATTTCCTTCTAAACAACCGTTTATTTATTATTTATTATTCGAGTTGGAAAAAATTATTATTATTATTATCCTTTTTTCGCGATACGTATATGACGGATAGGTCAAGTAACGCGATCCTTTCTCGTGAACGAAGATACGATCCTCAACGTCCTGATCGGTCTCATAATAGTCTTTCATATATCTCGACCGCGATATTCATCGAAACTGTTCTCGATCGTTTTTCCGTTTTTTCCAATTTCACAGTCACATTTTTCTTTACTTTCCCGTTCTTTCTTTCTTTCTTTCTTTCTTTCTTTCTTTCCTCCAATTACGAGACGCGAGTACACGCGCGCAAGTACACGCACATCCGCGAACGAAGACTGGGGCACTGGGTAATCGTGGTCCGGTGTTATCGGGTCCGTCAGCGACGTCGGGACGGCGCCGCTCCACCCCACTGTACTACCTTGCCCGGAGGAGCAGCTACGCTTCCTCCGTTTCCGTTTTCGTACACGCCACTGGCCGAGATATCGACTCCCGGTGCACGCGAACAAAGGCAGCCTCTCCCGAAGCGAGAAACACGGTTCGATCGGGGCCGGTTATAGCGAAACGGCGCCGCGTTATACACACAGACACGTATCGGGGCTTTCGAGGCCGCCACGACTCGCCTCGACGACGTCAAAGCGACGACCAGCCGTCGACGCTGCTCGCGCGCCGACGCGGATCCGCAGCGTTCCTCTCGCGCAACGCGCTTCATGCGTGCACACAGCCCATTCCATCGTACGAGTCGCTCGACTCGGCTTCTTCTCTTGCACGCATATTATTTATGTTGCTCGCTTTCTTGGAACTGGTTGCTTGTTGTTTTCTTTTTTTTTTTTTTTTGGAATCGTTCGTGAGAAGCTTTAGGAAGGGAGGTGAATAAAAAACACGGATGGATGATAATTTGGAGGAGTTTTGTTCCCCCTCTTGTTTCGTTGATTGACGTTTCATCTCGTTGTATTCGATGTAGAGTAGAGTTCGTTTTTTTAATTATTTCAGTATATGGTTCAGGGAGAGCATTTCTGTCTATGATATTAAAGTCAAAATGATTATTTGATTTTTTCGATTAACTGTTTTATTATTCGCTTATATGGGAATTTAATAGAGAAATGAAAAGAATTTGAACGACGGGAATCGACGATATAATTAGAAAAAGTAAATGTCTCGTCTCCATTATTGATTTGATTGGACGTAGATATGTATATGAGCAAAATACGTAGTATCAATCTAAAAGGGGATAAATTTAGTTATTTATAACTTAACTTTATTTAATAATTTATACTTGTAAATTTTCTCGGGAACATTATCTAGCTTATCGTTTTTAAAATTTAATTGTTATTTTAGATAATTTTAAGATAAGTAAATTTTATTTTTTTTTATAACTTAATGCAATTATGATTATATTAACATAAATATATTCATTATTATTTTGTATTAGTCATTCGAGTCATAATATAAAAAAAATATAAAGAAAAAGTTCAATTCGTTATTTTTTATTCATCTTTCTTTCTTCTCTCTTTCTCACTCATACACACACACACATATATATATATATATAGTGATAAGATGAAATCAATTCGTGAGAAAGATACATTTTGAAAAAAAAAGCGATACTCAATCTTGTCGTATCATTTGTCAATAAAGAAACTTGTAGTTAATATTGATAGAACTAGTAAATCGTGATAATAAATTCTTCGGAACATCTGTTGTGATAAGTGATCAAAGAAATATATATATATTCTCAATTAACCTTGAAATTTCTTTTTTAAAAAACGAAATTATTATTAAATCTCATTTCTCGATTATTCTGAATGATTATTCGGAAGAATAATTTGTATATTTCTCAACATATATATTATTCTTATAAAATATAAATATACGTATATAGAAGATATATTCTAACTTTTGTGATCAATCGTGCAGTCGGTTCTTGTCAATTTATTACTCGATTAAAACTAACATTTTCTATCCTGCATTTTATGAATAATACAACATTGTTATTTGCGATATTATTGTCACCCATCATCGACTTGCTGTTGCACGAATCCTTGAAGTACATAGTTGACAATGAATACCACAAACGTCGATAATGAAAATCTCGACAGCGTGGCTCGTATAGGATTTTTCAATATCCAATCGGAAGTGGATGAGGAAACGCATTCGCGTGTCCATGTTGTGTTCATTCCCTTCATTCAACAGTTTAATGCACGTTCATACTGTAACTTTAATTTAGAATATTAAATATATAGGACAGTCGTATTAATCATTCGCCAATTTATCATTTTCAAATTATATATTATTAAGTGGAAATTTTTGTTTAATAAGAGGAAAAGAATGAAAAAAAAAATTTTTTTTACATCATATATTTTATTATGGACGGAGCACAAAGCATCGTCTTTTCAAATATAATATTCATATATTTATATAGTAAATACATATTCATATGTTTAACATTGGTTCGTATTATTTCTTGAATTTTATTTAATACTTTAATCCTTCTTTAATCCATCAATTCTAATAATTCTGAGCGCTTAACTTCTAATTTTGATTTCTTCTTATGTGAAATACTATAGAACAAAAGTTTCTTTACTATTGTATTGTTACGTATATTCATTAATCTAACGAAAAATATAATCGTTATATATAATAATAACGTGCCTAAGGTTTACGTATATAAAGTGCTTATGGTACAGAAAACAATGCAATTATATTAGTTTACGTGCACCATTATTTATTAATACTTAAAACGCAAAATAATAAACGTATTTAATTTAACCATAGCCATTTTTTTTTGTATATAATTAAAATTATTCTGTATATTGTTTGGTGAAATTATTTATGAATATTATATATATATATATATGTATGTGTATGTAATATAAAATAAAATAAACAAAAAAATGAAATTCCTAGACAATATGTTGTTTTCTTTGGATTAATTTTATCATCGTAATCAATATTTCATATTATTCTGTATCTTTCTTTTTTTTTTTTGTCTCTATCCATTTCTCTTTCATTGTATAAATCGAATTCTCAGATAGTGAACATTCATATTGTCTAGCAATGTTAAACGATATTTTTATAAATCTTGTAATCATTGCTTCTCGAATTTGACAATTAATATTCGATTACAAAATTTTAATCTATTAAAAAAATCATCTGTTAAGTATAGTAAGTTTGGTCAAAATAGCGATGTCACAATGACATTAAAAAAAAAAAAAATTAATTGATTGATTTCAAGTTTTAAATTGACTTTAACTTAACTTTGATACTAACTTAATCTATTCGCTATTTGTTATTATTAAAACTTAATACTATTAAATTTTATTTAATCCTTGTAATACCATCACCTTAATATTTTAATTTGTCAATTTACTTGAAACTTTGCATTCCGTTATATCAACCAAAACTACTATACCTTTCTCAAACTCGTTAAAGAAACTCGCAAAACAAAAACGAAATAAAATATCGAAGTAAAATATAAAATAGAATATCAAAATGAACCGGTTGAAATGATATAATTCGTGGATGTATACACCACGATACATTTCGATCTACATCTAGGTAAATTATAGAAAACTGATGGATACTTATATAGTTTTCAGATATGTATAACGCTTTCTATTAGTTTGTATCAATACAATGAACAAACAATTCAACGAACAGTGCTTAAACTTATTGTCCTTATGCAAATTCCCAAAGTGTTCGCGTAGTTGTTATATATTTATCGCGATTACTATGAAAATTTTTTCTTTCTCTCTCTCTCTTTTTTGTTCTCTCTTAAATACAACCAGTAAACATTTTTCCATATTTGATAAACTATATGGTTCTAGTAACGATACAAACTTGCATATTTTAATATCGATTTCTATCGCCCGCTATTATATATGTGATTGGATATATGAACGAATCGGTGAAAAAGAAATCGCGCAAAAATATATTGCTATAATGATGATTAGAAGATAATGATGATTAACAGGAACATGAATGTTTTTATAATCATCTGTATTGAAAAAATATCATAGGGCGATGCGCAAATCGATATTATTATCAGTCGTTTCACATTTCCAGTCAATATACACGGAATGACCGATTTTAAATTTATCTAAGAAAATTACGCTAAGTTGGAAATGGGAAAAAATGACGTAAATGAAACGTATTCTTGAAAGATTTTAAAGAAATCTTTTTGAATTACTGTTAAACTATTTTCATATATCCAAAACTAATCAACTATTTTAATATATCCAAAACTAATCAACTATTTTTAAAAAATTTTTTTCTTTTTTCTGATTTTAATGTCAGAACACGTGATTAATGAATAATTTCAGATAATGATTTTTTTTAATCAAACTCGTTCGAGTTGGTCTTTTATATGATTTATTTATACAACAAATAGTCAAATTATAAATTGAATATATTTACTTCCAACTCAACATATTTCGTGAATTCTTTAAAATAAAGATATATTTCTTTAAAATAAGTCATTCTGTGTAAAACAAATGATTTGCATAATCATTCGGTGAAAGTCTTTCCAATGTTTCTCTATTCTTTCACTTACTATTAATCAATTCAACAAAATTTAGGAAATTTTACAGTATATCCAGTTTAAAATCTATGAAACAATTGATTATAGTAATGAAATTTTTTATTATAATTAATAGCAAACATTTCAAAATTATTTTTATATTATATTTTAATAAAGAAAAGTATTAATAGATAAATTATAAATTATTGATTGAATATTTTTATATTTAATTATATTCTTAAAGTTTTAAAAATTATTGTATTTTATAATTTTGTTTTTTTTCCTTTTCAAGATTTCCTAAATAATCCATTACTTTTACATTACATAAATATTACATAAAAATATATAAAAGATCTGAATAAAATTTAATTAAATTATTTAATTATTTAAATAATAAATAAAAAAGTATATTTAATTAACTGGATATGCTGTTTCAAACTTCTTAAAGAAATAGTAAATTCGAGTATTTAACTATTAATTATAACAAGAAAAATTTTTTCATACAGCGATAACGATTGTTGAGAAATTTATAGCATACATGATGAGAAAAATATAATTTGTTCATCAAGATTCAATGGTATCAAAATGTTTTTATCGATTTTTTTTTTATTTTTGCTACATATTTCAATTCATATTTCTCAAAAAACTTCAATTTTCTATATGCAGTATATCTATTAAGAAGAATTATATTAAACATATATTAGCTTTAACAAAAAATTTTATAGCAATGTAATTAAATTTTTTTCTAATCATTTCTAACCATTCGAGACAATAATTCTTATAAAATAAAATTTTTCAAATTTTAATTGTTTTCTAAATATTTTTTATTTTTATATATTTTTTCAATATTACTTCTTTATTTTTTTTCAATTTGCTTTCATTTGAATTGTAGAATTATTTTTAAATAGTATATTTTTTAGTGCCAAAGTCAAATTCATTGACTATTATTTATAATAATTATAAAATGTCACAATTTCATTATTAATTCATTATATTTCACTATTAATAAAAAAAATTAATAAAACTTTTTTTAATAACTTTTTTTAAATACTTATATATTTCAATTTAAAAAAGTAAATAAATGCAAATGAAAAATTAAGAAGCACCTCGCGAAGAATATACTAATACATGTATAACTATATTATTGAATAATTATTAATTATTTAACCCTTTATATAGTATATATAGTATTATATATAAATAATTTAATAAAAATCATCTATGAAAAAAAGATATAACAGTTTATATAATGATTGAATTTTTTAAATATTTCAAAAAAATTTGAAAAACATTTCAACTTTATTATAACTATATATAAATCATATTTCCTTATTTATTATTGTTTATATTCTAATATATATATTAGAATAGAAAAAATACACAAACAATATTTGTAATTCACAACGCAATTAATTTAAGAATTAAATAATATATAATTCAAATAATATAATTATAAAACTTTATTTTGAAAGCAATTATTTGATAATATCATCTTCTTTGCAAATAATATTAAAAACAGAAACAAAATATAATAAAAATAAATAGAATCAATTTGTAAAGCAAATAAAATAAAGGGTTAAATAATATATGAATTTAAAAAAATATGTATATGTACCTATATAATATATGTTTATAAATATAGTATAGTACTGCTAATATTTTAATAAAGAGAAACAATTTGTCTATTTTTTAACATGTATAGAATAACTAGATTTCAGTGATTTTTCAAACAGTGATTATAACTTTTTATATGTAATTACATTTAATAAAATTTTATAATAAAAACATGATTTTAATTAAAACATAATTTAAATGTATCTTTGCAGTACCATACATTTAAATCTAATTGATAAAGCTTATTGTAAATAGAATTCTGGAATGTTGAAGCAGTGTTGTAAGAATACACCACTTACATGAAGTTGGATATATTGTTTAGAAAGTATTATCCCAGACCATGATCCTCAAAAAAACCTTGTGGAGTTTCCTCCTGAAACATAGAAATAATATTATTAAATTAAAGATCTAAACAAAAGAAACATCTAAAGGATATGAAGAGGGATCAATTTCTTTGATGCTGCACACTATCAATAACGCAAATATACAATAATGAAAATATATAAACAAACACGTACCTAGTTCGTAATTAAGTAATCTCCTTGATGCAGCTTCAAATGATGAACTGAACCCTTTTCATATAACTGAGTATATACTTGTATGGATACACAAAGCTGCACAAAGCACATGTTCATTTATTGCTTCGTTTAAAATGCTTAAGCATCAATCAAAGATATGTCTGTATTGCATGCTGCATACAGAATGTCTCTGCATTTACAATAAGTAGAAATTATAAACTTGATAAAATTTAATGCATAAGAAATCTTTCTAACAATGAATAAATTAAAATTCTAACACCTTATTTTATATAGACATAATTATAAATATAGCTTATTCAAACCTGAAAGAGTGTAAATACAATAAAAATAAATATATACATACTGGGTTAATTACATGGAAAAGGTAATATATAATGTTGTATACATTTGTATAAAAACTGCTTTGCATGTATTTATTACCATTATTATTATTGTGTTAAAGTTATAATATTAAAAATTGACATTGTTTATGTATATACACATATACACATATAAAAGTAATATCTTTAAATATTTATCTCTAATTAAATACTAAAATAAATATATTTAGAAATAATAATACTATATCACATATGTAAGAGAAAAACTCTTTATGCAATTAAAAAATAATATAAATATTATTGAAATATTTTTTTTATGTTCATATATGAAAAAATGATGACACTCTAAATATGCATTATTTTATTGCCATAGTATGAGACTAACTATATTATTTGTTATTATCTGTTCAATGATAAAATGAAAAGCAATCTTATAATAATAAAAATTCTATAATATATATATATATATTATAATATATATAATATAAATATTATATTAATGTATAATATATATAAAGTTTATATATATATGAAGTAAATATATATATTATAGTTTTATGTGTAGTATATATATGTAAAATATAATATATATATATACATATAATATTGTATATATATATACACACAATACATAATAAAACTACATGAACATTACTATTACATCTATTTATATTATAGCACTCGCCTAATAAAAAATATACTAATATTTAAATATTAATTTATAAGGGTTTTTAATGGTATGTAAAAAAATTTATGTTCAATAACTATAGAAAAAGTAGAGATGTATGATGACATCATGCAGTGGATGAGTCTGCTCCAGTTCTTGATGTGTGGGTTGACAGATTGGCCATGGAGGACATGCAACAACGCAGCACCTATAAAAGCCCTATCTCCCGCAGGGCACCTTCCACAGCTTCATCCTTCCACAAAAAAACAAATATTCTAACTAATCTTTAGTGTATTTCTAGATGTGTCCTTAGTAATGGAATAATGATCTTGAGCTAAATTTTACTACTAATTTATCTTATAAAATATACAATGTATAAAATATAAAACAAAATATATATTATATAAAATATATATTACAAAATATATTAAAAATCAAAAAATAAATTAAAATCTTTTTTATATACAATACTTTATTATTTCTTAATTAATAATTCAAATGCATCTCAAATGCAACAAATCTATAATAAATAGTATGTTGATAGATTAAACATGAATTTTAATATTATTTACTATAATTTTTATATTTTTTATTCATATTATAGTTTATCTTCCTATTTAATTTGATAATATGAAATCAACTTGCTAATAAACCAGTTTCTTTCTAGTTTAAATACTTTCTAGTTTAAACAATTAAAATATGAAATATTTTTATTAAATACTAATTCCTTAAAAATATTAAATTGCTATTATATTTTATGATATTATATAAAAATTTTAATTAATTTAAATATAATCTTTTATAATCAATCAACATTTAAAATTTTTATGACACAATTGATAAAGCTAATAAATAAAAAATATACTATTTTTTATTATAAAAATTTCTGTTAATACATCACAAAATATAATATTTATACTTTGTGTAAAGATTACAATTATACTTTAAATTTAAAAAAATATTTGTACATAATAATGTTATATAAGTATAATTTAAATCATCTTTTATACAATAAAATAAAGTCTCAATATAATTCAAAATCTTGTGCAAAAATGTCAATTATTAATACTAATCAATTTATTCATTATATATATATATATAAGATATATATATATATTATCCAAATAAAATATAGCTATGAATTACCTTATATATGAATGCTATAAAAAAAATCTATAAAAATAAACATACAAGCATACTTCCGCATTGTAGGAACTTATAATGAATACCATTTATGGTATCATATAGATCACAAACAATATCATTACATAAAATCATTAATATGATTGACCACGCTTAATATTTATTACAATTTAAAAATATATACATACATTTTAATAACTACTTATGAACAACAGCATTTCCATAGCATCATATTCTTTACTGCAATTATTTCCATGATAAATAAACAATTAAATTAGAATATAATTTTACAATATAAGAAAATAAAAAAAATCGAAATTAATATAATATTTATTATATTATATTATTTAATGAATTCATAGTATAAAAATAATAACAAAATAATAAAAAATAATAATAAAATAAAATTTTTAAAAATCAAATATATATTATTTTATATAATTATTTTACAACTTAGAAAAAAAACATAACACAATTTTGAATATATAATTTAAAAGACTTTTTTGTATAATGATACAAAAACATGATCTTTAAAATTTGTTAGAAAAAAATATTGTTTAAACAACATTAATTTAAAAATATTTTTTTATAAAATTTCTGGTTTTGGTATTTAATATTGTAACAATACATTTTAATATTCTATTTTAAAAGAAAATATTTATTTTGTTGAATAAACTGAATTTTTATTCTTATTATGATTTAATTTAAAAAAAATTGTAAATTATAGCAAAATATTTCATAATCTTAAATATCAAAAAATGTGGAAAAAAAAATTAATTATATTTAAAGTTCAAATTTCATAAATCTATTTCATTTTATCAATTATTTTATTTTCATTAATATTAAAAATTTTATATTTAAAAAAATTTTAATATATTTTATCTTTAACATAATTAATTAAAAATTTTTAATAAAAATTATAAACATTATTATAGTAAAATACTTAGTTTGTTTTTATCATATTTAATTATATTTTTTTATTCCTTTAATTAAGCATAAATAATAATTTGTAAAATATTAATGAGAATTTTTAAAAATAATATTAATATTTTTCTTAAATTTTCATGTTTATAGAGATTATATTTTTATATTTACAAAATGCAACATATGTATTTATTATATTATCTTTGAATAAACTTTAAATACATTATTGTTATAATAATATTATCATATTAAATATTTTATAATAAATAATAAATTTTTATATTTCTGACATGAAAAAAAACTTCAAATATGATTAACTAATTAAATATGATAGTAATATATCTTCTCAATATTTTTATAATATTATCTATTAATTATATTGTAATTATATGTAATTATATTGTAATGTATGATTATAAAATATTTAAAAAACTTATAACATTTATTTATCTAATACAAATTCATTTTTATAAAAATAGTTAATTGTTTTTTTCTTATACAATGTAATTAATTGAATTTAAAAAATATTATTATAAAAAAATATTAAAAATAATAATAATATTATATTATTGTTAATTTTGCAAAATATATTAAATACAATGTTCTATTAAATACAATTTAATATTTGATAATAAAATAATATGGCAACAACATTGCATAACATTAATTTCATTGCTATAGATATGCTGTTGCGTACATTATAAATAAAAATTTACAAAACGTGTAAGCCCACTTACATTAATAAGAAAATAAGCGTATAAGCATTCTATACACACAGCATTAGCTACAAAGAAAATAAAGAGTTACAATATTTTTAAATATGAAATATATTATATTTATCTATATGAAAAATTTGTTTTATTTTATATTATTAGAAAAAATGAGCAGACATTTTTTATGTTTTCCTGATTTTATAATATATATACTATATAACTACAATTATTTTATGACACATCATATTATTTACACAAAAGAAATGAATCATATTTATGATTCATAATAATAAAAAATATTGCCAATGATTGCTTGTACAAATTAATCATAATAAAGTTTTTAATATAAAATTTTGTACAAAGCATAACAATAATTACATATTACAAAAATACAATTAATACAACATACATTAAACGTTAATAAAAAATTTCAAGTATTTTGTGATAAACTACATAAAAGAATAGAACTATTTTCAAATTGTAAAAATATATAATATATATAGCATATGAAATATATGGAAACATGAAAAAAATATCAAATAAAAAAAAATAACAACACATGAATCAAAAAAATTACATTCCATCATGCAATTTAGATATTATACTGTTAATAAACATTAACATATCATTACAACCCAGTTCCTCCAGGTATTAAAACAATATGATAAATATTTTCATATTAAAAACTATTGTTTCATATCTTTAATTTTTTTCTTTTTCCATTTTT